AGCATAACAACATAATGCATCTCTTTGTTGGTGAAAGACATACATGTTGGTCTATTGCACTGCAAATGTTTCTTAGGGGCAGCTGCAACATCCAGCCTTTTTTTATACGAGGGCTTAATTTGCCCACTTCAATTCAAATTCCCTTTGTTTTCATTTTAAAGTTAGGCTCAAAACTGCCTAAGAAGAACACTTAAAACCAATAAAGTCTGGTCTATGTCGAAAGATGCCATGGTCACTGTTAACATTTAAAGACTGACAATATCAGGTAGGTTCAATGCAATGCAATGATGGATACCTATGAATGATATTCCAATAAATAGAAATTTGACTTGTCAATGTCTTTGTTGGTTGACTTTGGCCACTTCGTCATAGAACCTGGCCACAAAGATGGCGTCTATGTTCTCTAGTCTCTGTAGAAGTTCATTCCTGTCGTCCTCCGTCCACCCTTCAAACCACTGTCCAAACAGCTTCATCTGACACTTGAATATACTCGGCGCCTTGTCCTGTACGGAGAGCGAGTCCAGGTTAGCCATGAGGGAGTCGGCGGTGACTCCGACAGCTTTCTCCACCAAGTCACGGAGGAACTCCTCCCGTTGCACGGGGGCCCAGTTGGCGAACCAGGAGCAGACACAGTGCATCTCCTGTACGGTCACCACACCGTGGCTCATGGCGGACATCTACACCTGCTGACCAATCACCTGTCAGATAACAACAACAACCTGTGAAGGTTTGCACAGATATGAGGTCCCTCGTGTGATTTTTGCATCATTATTCATTATTAACATTATCTATTTTTTCAACATTCTCAACATTCTGGTTGTTTTTCCTGGATGCTTTGCAACTACCCCAACATCCTGGGTGCTTTACCTCAACTGAAATGGCGTTGTTATATCCCAGGAACCCACAAGGTCAGAAACTCGAACTCAGAAGAAATAATTTATTTGACTTTTACTCAGTTTTAGAGTATTAAAACTAATAAAAGGCCACAATATTAAAGTCTGATATTTACACTGCGCTGTGATTGGTTAAATCCTGCATGACGTCATTACCCCTTTAAATATGAATGCCAGCCAGGCTAATCACCATTGCGATCATTGGAAGCCTCCGCTACGCCAGCTTGGAGCGATGTGCTAGTGCCGGGCGTGCCCTCCCAGCCCTCCCACGTTTTGCAGCACTGGTCTTCGGTTTGGGTGTCGGTGTCTTCCTGGCGAGTCCAGCAGTTTGGAGGCTTCCACGACGACTCCTTCGGTTTGGAGGCGTGCAGAACGGTTTTTGCTGTCGTTTTGTGTCCACGAGTTTTTGTTTGTTTTCCCGAGTTGGTAACATTTCGTTTTTGGAGGGAATGCGTTGCACGTGGTATTGCATTCGTTACTAACTGGTGGTTTTGGGTAGTGAGCTTGGCAGATGAATGTTGTTTGTTCTTTGCTGCACTCTTGAACTTTTAAGTGGGTAGAAAAAGAGATATGTGGTGTGTCTTTGACGTGTACGTGTTTCTGTTTTTAAGATAACGTCGCAGATTCGTAGACTTCCCGCACCAGCTGTGTAGAATCCAGGACAATGGCGACAGCTGTAACTTCAGCAGGACCAGCGGACGCACCTCGGAAACACCTCCTACCCGGTACAGGCGGACTGGTTTTGGTCGCTGACGTTAGAGAAGCAGAGGCCTGTTCCTGAAAGAGAAGGTTTGGGTAGTGTGAAGTACAGGACGTGGTTTGCTTTTCTTTTCCGACAGTTTTTGTGTGGATTGTCTGTAAGAATGTTGGCGGCAGTCTCGCACCTGGGTCATTTGCATTTGAATGCGTGGGTGTCTGTTTGAGCCAGAATTGATTATTAGTAGTTTGTTCTTTTCAGGGTTTCATTTCTGAGTTTTCGAGGGTGGTTTTAGCCATTTTGTAAAATTAGCAGGGGAGGTTTCCCGAGCGGTGTTCCTTCGGCTTCGTGCCCATTAAGATCGTGTTGCGGGTTGCCCTCGCGGTGGAGGCGCGCTCGGGCGGGTAGTGTGGTAGTAGTGTGAAAGGTTTTCACGGGGTTAAGAAATTGCAGGTTGATAAGCAATGTCGTTTGCCCTTGCAGTTATAGCAGCACAACAACCTCGTTTCCCAAGCGGTCAAGATGTGGGAAGGCAGCAGCAGATCCCACAACCTACCACATTTTGCAGCCGTGATCTTCGGCCCGGGCTACGGTGACATCCCTAACGAGTCCAACAGTCTGGAGGTTTCTTGGCCACTCCTTTGGGTTACGGAACGGTTTTGGTGTCGTTTCCGTTGTTTGATTTTCAGTTTTTCCAGAGTTTTTGGTAAAATCGTTTTGTCATTTTGGCGGGAGCGTGTTGCATGTGGTACATTTTGCATTTGAAATAATTGGTTCTGGGGTGGTGACTTTGGCAGATAAGCGTTTCTTTGTTTGTCAGGAGGGTTGGAAACTCGAGTGCTAAAGCCTCCGGTACTTTGTACCCTTAGATCATGGAGTGGTGATGCCCTCATGGTGTTGGCACATTCGAGTTGGGTAGTTAAAATNTAGTTGGTATCT